TCCCTTGAACCTATCAACATTAAAGCCATAAAACTCAAGAGAACGCCTAAGCTGAGCTGTGAAATCACCCCGTCCAATAACCAATGCTCCAGGCAGGCAAAGAGTGGGCCCGCATCTACTCCCCGTAACTGGCAAAAATCCCACATTTCCTGCACAGGGCAAAGGTCAGTCGCCTCCCTCCTACAAAATGAAGTAACAAATGCTGTGCCTGGTTTGCAATGCTTAAATTTGGATAAGGTTAATGTCATTGACTGAGGTTTACCCATAGTTCCAATAAACTGCAACTGATTGAAGAGAATGTCCCCACCCACATGATGCCTATTTTTAATTGTAATTTCCCCAATCCTGAGGAACCCATATAATGCTGTTAAAAACATTGCTCTAAATAAACACCCTTGATAAGCAGATGAAATAACGTGTGGAATAGCCTTAACTAGACAATGAAAAATATCACGAGTGATAGGAAGACAGGAAGACGGTCATCCAGTTGAAGTTTTAACTTTCGATGTGACTGCACCAATTTGTGTACCATAAAAGACTTGGTTGGGTCTGAAAAACCTCCAATTTTATGAACGTAGCTAATGGTTGACAAGTAAGTTGAAACAGTGGATGGTGCCAGGTGCTGCCTAGAAAGGTAGCCAATAAACAAAGCAATGGTTGTTTCCTGAAGTGGTAATGATGGTCAATGTACCCCCAACTGGCTATACACAAATTGGGCAAAAACCCGCCATGCACGCTGATAGGTTGTCCTAGAGGAGCTGCAAATAGCCTGCTGTAAATGTCTGCCTACTTCCATTTCCAATTGGCTGGTAGCAAATGTGAAGGAATTGGGGTTGGATTGGTATCCATGCCATAAGCCATCGATCTGAACTGATCCACCTGCAAACGAGAAAGACAGTCGGCCAAAATGTTATGCCTGCCCAGAATATGTTTTTCTCTAAAAAGAATGTTACACTGAAAGCCAATGAGCACGATCCGACGAACTAAAACCATCAGTCCTTTCCTTTGCCGACACAACACCTGCTTGTTACTGAGATAATGCCCCCACACTTCAGAGCCAGCATGATTGGAAATAACT